AGCTGCCGCGTCTGTAAATTTTCACTGGGTAACAAAATTTAGAGTCGCCCCAGCTTCTGGTAATCCAAATCAGAAGCTGCCGCGTCTGTAAATTTTCACTGGTAACAAAATTTAGAGTCGCCCCAGCTTCTGGTAATCCAAATCAGAAGCTGCCGCGTCTGTAAATTTTCACTGGGCGAGAACTTTTTCCACATGGTAGCTCAGTATGGCATAGTGCCTAACTGGGGGCGTGTGTATTATAGTACCAGACGCAGCCAGCCACCATACCTCATACCTATGAATATGTGGATAACACCAATTACACCCAGTTTGTCAGGTTTCTGGTGCTGGTATAGGATATATTAAGTTTGTTTTTGCAAATGTAGCTCAGTATGACATGGTGCCTAACGGCGTGCGTGTATATTATAGTAGACCAGACGCAGCCAGCCACCATACCTCATACCTATGAATATGTGGATAGCACCAATTACACCCAGTTTGTCAGGTTGGTGGTGCTGGTGCGCGATATATAGTTAGTTTTTTTAGTAGTTCTTTTTTTTTGTTAAAAAAATGCTAGTGTTTTATACCTCAATTTAAGTGTTATTCAATGAGGAAACTCGATTATATTTTTGTTTTCTCAACAGTAATATTAAATGGAAAAGCCTCTCTTGCCTATTCATTATGAAATACCTTTGTTATATCTCTTTTCCTACCATTTTTATTCATTGAAAACTGCTTCATTGTTAAATTATTAATTGTAAAAATTTTCATTTCCAGGAACAACGTCGGGCTGATGGAAAAAGAGTTCAACTTTTGGTTCAACAACCGGATCACGGAGATAAAGTTGAACAGTTCCCTCAACTCCTACCCAGTGAAAATTTACAGTCACGGCAGCTTCTGATTTCGATTACCAGAAGCTGGGACGACTCTAAATTTTGTTACGGTATAAGGATGCCCTCTACAGCTGTCAGGTAGACGAACCAAGATCTGAGTCTTACAGGTAAGCTAACTCAGAATTGAAATATGTTTTCCTTAATATTTTTCGCAATTTTTGAAAATATTGAACTACTTCTCTAAGCACGTAGAGAAATAAGTGGGACCTTCTCTAAATAGCGATGTACTTCGTGGGCCTACGGGATATTTTGACCCAGTTTGTCAAATAAGGTTTTTTAAGAATGTATAGTGTATTGTGTAATTCGTAATAAAAAGTGTATTTTTTATAATGTATATGCAACTATAGAAACTTAAGCCGGATTCTGTTAAGTCATTATAGCAAAAAAAATAAGTTTTTTTCTTTTTTAAATAATTATATGCAAGCTTCATCAGTAAAAGGGTAAATTCTCAATGAATATGCGATTGAATTCGATACATTTTGAAAAATTCCGGAATTTTTTGGAGATATATTTTTTAGAGGTTACATACATTTTTAGCATGGTTGTCTTTACCATAACTATGAAATTTATTGGGCAATACTCTCTTAAATAAAAATTTGCCCACCCTTCTCTTAGGGACGATTTTTCTTAAATTTAATTCATGCATACATTTTATATTCAGTAATGGAGAAAATTTAATGAATAAACTCGCGTAATTACTTTCGTTATAGGAGGGCGTTGTTGAAAAAATTCCTGCTCCATTTCACAATGGCTGCAAAAAAAATATTTCTAGTTTTTTCTAGAACATACAATTTTCAGGTTAAATCTGAAGATTAATTTTTTTAATCTGAAGGCCGATTTTCAACACTGAAGACCGATTTTCAAATTTGAAGACCGATTTTTAAATTTGATATCGTATTCGCACAAGTGAGCATGATTTCTTAAATCTGGGCACTACTTTAATCAAGTTTTGGAGTTATAAATAGTATATAAATTTGTAGGGAAGATTACGAAATGGCTCAGCAGGTGCCGGAGGAACAGCGCGCGCAGCTTTACATAGAGTTCAAATCCGGCGCAGAGAGCGGCTAGGATTACAGCAGCCGATGGTATAACAGCAACGGAACTAACAGAGGTAACTAGTGCAACTAGTCTAGGTAATTATTGTAACTAGTGTAACTAGTCTAGGTAACTAGTGTAACTAGCCTAGGTAACTAGTGTAACTAGTCTAGGTAACTAGTATAACTAGTCCAGGTAACTAATGTAACTAGTCTAGGGAACTATTGTAACTAATCTAGGTAACTAGTGTAACTAGTCTAGGTAACTAGTATAACTAGTCTAGGTAACTAGTATAACTAGTCTAGGTAACTAATGTAACTAGTATAGGTAACTAGTGTAACTAGCCTGGGTATTTATTGTAACTAGTCTAGGTAACTATTGTAACTAGTCTAGGCATCTTATGTAACTAGTCTAGGCAATCATTGTAACTAGTCTAGGTAACTGGTGTAACAAGTCTAGGTAACCATTGTAACTAGTCTAGGTAACTATTGTAACTAGTCTGGGCAACTATTGTATCTAGTCTAGGCAACTATTGCAACTAGTCTAGGTAACTAGTGTAACTAGTCTAAGTAATTATTTTAACTAGTCTAGGTAACTATTATAACTAATCTAGGCAACTATTTTAAATAGTTTAGGTAACTATTGTAACTAGTCTAGGCAACTATTGTAACTAGTCTAGGCAACTATTTTAACCAGTCTAGGCAACTATTTTAACTAGTCTAGGTAACTATTTTAACTAGCCTAGTCAACTATTGTAACTAATCTAGGCTACTATTCAAACTAGTCTAGGGAACTATTTTAACTATCCTAGGTAACTATTTTAACTAGTCTAGGCAACTATTGTAACTAGTCTAGGTAACTATGGTAACTATTCTAGGCAAATATTTTAACTAGTATAGGTAACTATTTTAACTAGTCTAGGCACTTATTGTAACTAGTCTAGGCAACTATTTTAAATAGTCTAGGCAACTGTTTTAACTAATCTAGACAACTATGGTAACTAGTCTAGGTAACTATTTCAACTATTTTAGGCAACTATTAAC